ACAACCTTTGGCAAAAACGCTGTATAATATTTCTTTTCGCTTATCCTTCTCACCAATTGGTTGGTAGTCTGTTGCATCGAACGTTCTAAAGGATGACTCATACGGCCCTAATAGCCTGGAAGCCAAGGGTATTTCCAGTGGATCGGATTGATGCTTTACTGCAAGAAATAATTACAAGACTCATTTTAGACAAGTGTTAAAGAACGATTCTTATTATTTTTTGCACCAATAAAATAGAGCACAATTCTACAGGGATAAAGAACTGAAAAATGGATAATTTTAAGTCCGAAGAAGGTCTTAATGGGGTTAACCGTCAGTGGTTGTTGGTAAAACGGCCCAAAAAACAATTTTAACCCTTGGTCGTAAAAAAAAAGGTTCACCGTAAAAATATAGATATATTTCTTGAATCTAGGACTGTGACTTTCTAAGTTAGAAGGAACACGACCTGAAGCCATCAAACAACTTACCACCGTACATGACGTCACCACTGTTGTTGAAAATCACATGACACTGATCCAGTGATGGGCAGGTGTCAAGTAAGTGAAACGAACGGAGATCCCACTGTTTGTCGAGTCAAGGATTTTCAAGATAAAATTGAACAGATAAACAAGATAAACTATACTAACGTAATCCTGTATTGATACGATCTCATAACCAACAGCAACGCCTTTCCTGGGGACCTGACTTTTTGACCTAGTCCCCAGGTTCTAGTAACAGGAAGCGTGGTCTATGACTCCACGCGTACCGCGCTCCAACCAAACCTACCCTCCCCACCTCTACCCACTCCTTCTCGTGGAACTGGTAAACCAACACCTTTTTAACCTGTTTTCATACGCATGGAAAGGCCCCGAGAAGTGCTTTCTTCGCTCATTTGACACAGTAGAAAAAGTTAAAATTACACGATTTTGTGCCCCTTTCCCAGAATGTCCCAAGAGGACAAAGACAGTGAGTTACAACTCACTGGGAATTTGTTCAAATTTGGAAAACAATCTGTTCAACTTAGCTACACCACGAGATGTAATAGATACCTATATATATATGACAACGGCCATTATCATCACTCATTTCCGACCATTTTTTAAACTATCTATTTTCTCGTTTTACGAAATGATACGTCAATATTCATCTGCAATCATACGTCTGAAAATTTAGCGTCTCTGAAAAGAACAGATCACAAAAATGTAAACTCCGCTGTTTTAAGCGTGGTCAGCGCGTAGAATGTTCACTGTTCTCAGGACATTGTCTTCGATTGACGAACATGATGAAATACCCGGAGGGGGGGGGGAGGGGGACTCCCACATAAAAAGGACGGGGGTGCTCGTCGTACCTTTAAGGGGTTAAAAAAGCGGTTTTGGTAACTCTTACGGTGTTCAGCCTCAACGGGTGCACGCCGGGAGCTTTTGCGGCACCTTTTAGGGTATTGAGCTGAAAANGTCTTTCTGCGTCCGTGTTCGCGAGCTCAAGAGTTTTCATTGGCTTAACCATCATAGTATATATAAACAATAGCCTCCATTTGGCGCGAAAATATGCTCGGATATTTGTCCGCGGACATTATTTGTTCCGAGAACGGAACAGAAAACTGTGAGCTTTGAGGAAAAGATAATGTCCAAGGACAAATATCCGAGCATATTTTCAAAGTCAAATGGAGGCTATTGTGTTTATTATCCTTCAAATATATTTCGCAACACGCGCAGTTTTGAAAATTGGGGAATATTCTGGGATATTCCCAATTTTAGCTGGTGAATATCCGGTCACGTGTCCCGTTTAGACCAATCGCGCGCCAGCAAAAATATTCGATGGATTATAAGAGCTATTATATTACGCCGCTCTACAAAAATGGTAAGTGTATGTTTTTTTTTGTTTGTTTGTTTGTTTTTTTTGTTGGGGAGGGGGAGGTAATTTTACTTTAGGTTTCTATATTTTGGGGGCGTTTTTAATAAAACAGTTATTCCATTCACGCTTGTTGGACATGATTTGTATATAGCCACTCGGCGCTTGGCGCCTCGTTGGCTATCTACCATCTCATATCCAACGGGCGCTCGTGGAATCATTGGTAATTATACGTTTGGAATTGGTCATTTCCCTGCAAGCGAGCGAGTGCGGCCCGTACGGTGACCATACATGCTCATCAAGTAGGGATTCGATCGATTGGTTCCTCTTTAGTTAACTAGTGTTTAATCCGTGCACCCTGAGTATAACAGAAGATTATTCGTGTTGTTCGAGTTGTACTGACGCGAAGTAGATAACAGAGAGCGATTACAATGAACCGAGAAAAACACACATTATTGAACTCTATCTTCTAATTTAATTACCTGTTTGAACCTGTTAGAAAGAAAAAGAGAAGTTCTCAATTGGTTATTTATCAAGGATACAATTTCCGAGTTGATGATGATCTCAAGTCCCGACGGATGAAAGACGCCGCTGACGAAGTTGTTGAACTTGTCAAACTTGTGTATAACCCGTTTTCCCTTGACATCCCATAATACACCGTCATTGAGTACCAGGTCGTCTGTCGGGTTGAACGAAGCGAGGTTCTTTGAATAGTTATTGGTGTTGTTGGAGTCGTGTAGAGTNAAAAATACTCAAGACAATGGGCACTTTCCACTCGATAGAGGATTCTGGTTTGGATTTCCGGAGACGAATGAAACAGCACTTTCCCGAATTTCGGAAAAAAGAGGACTACCACGCGAGTTGATCTCAAATTTTAGGAATTTTTTTTTTCCCGGGATTTTTCCCCGGAATTTTCGGTTGAATGGTTCGCATTTCGGAAATTCAACAATTTCCGGATTTTCTGGAAACTTTCCAAGGAAACTTTCGTACCATCTCTTCCTCGTTTCCAAATGTTTGGTTGAATGGAAAGCGCCCAAGCGCCGGAAACTGGAATCGGTTGCCAGCGAGGGAAACCTGGAAGCAGTTACAAGCTACCGGTTGCAAGGGCGGGAAAACGTGATTTGCTAAATGTGTAGGAAAACGTGTAACCGGTTATAAGGGCGGGAAGTCAAGTAATTACTTGATCTGACTACACTCACACGAGAAATTCATTGTGAAAAGTTTATTGAGGATGCGTCAGTCAGCCATCCTAATGTTTACCTCACAAATTTAACTAATGGTTCCAAGAATTAGAACCTGTACTACGCCAAATACGAAAAACCACTAAAAAGCCACCCTTTATATGTGGCCAAAAATATGTGGGAACGTATTCCTCATGTAATGCAGCAGCACGAGTCCCAAAGGAAAGGGTAGTCTACAATTATTTACACAAGTTGATCAAATTGAAACATAATCATAAAAAATAAAGTGGGCGAACACTACGACTGACCGACTTAACATGACTTAAATCTCCCGCCAAAACCTTAAATAGTCCCTAAGCATCCCACGATGCACCGCGAGTCTCTCCAACGTGCCGTCAGAATAATACCCTCCGACTAATTCGTCCCTCCATCGTCAGAAATTGCATCTTTTGAGGGAAAACATATAACCGGCTGCAAACGCGGGAAACCATGCAAGCGGTTTACGTGCAGGAAAATATTAGCTACAGGCGCATGTTCGGGGAAGTTTATGATATGCTCTAGCGTTAAAAGAACTGAGCAAAGACATTATAAAGTAAATCAAGAACGTAAAAAACCTCAACTAGAGTTTGATAATACTCTGAAAAAGGTTTTGAATGCCCAAAACTTACTTCATTTCGAAGACGTCTCCAAACGTCCAAAGAGCGCATGGAGGCAAGTCAGATGACGAGGAGGTTAACAACAGTTCACGGTCCTGTAAGTCGAGTAAGACACACTGTTAAGTACACATACACAAGCTATGGAGAGACAATGGAGGACTTCACAAGGAGAGAGGGGCTCTTTTGCGATTTTTAATCACTTTGCAACGCTTGAAGGAAAAAAAAAANAATGCAAATGAGTCATGCATCCAAGATATGTACCCTCTGGGTACCAATTTTTTTCGTATGTCGTTATCTTCATGCTGTTATGTCATTATGTCAGGATGTTCACACTGCAAATATAACGACACAACGTCCTTCTTATGTCCTTATGTCGTTAGTCGCCAGTGTGAACTAAGCTTAAGACATTAAATTAATGCATTCGTTACAGGGTACCTGTCCTGTGATTAAGTTGTACTCCTTTAGCTCCCCTATTTGGGTGCCAAGTAAAACCGACTTGCCATCGGGCTGTAATAATAATAACAAGAATAAATACCAATTAATTCACAAAAAATTCCGATTTGTATAGTCTAATCTTCGACTATTCTGAAGGTATCACTTCGGAGTGACGTCAGAAGGATAAGTTCAGTTGCTTATCAACATCATTGACGGAAACTGTTGGCTAAGGAACTAGCCCTCTAAAAATATCACAGACAGATTCGCCCAACGTTTTAACATCCTTGTTGGCATCCAATTCAGATCACGTGGTGACCCATTTCGGCGGTTACAATTGTTCAATAGGCCATCTCCGAGTTACCTTTTGCCTCGGTGTCAAAACGAGTCTTTGTGCGAAACAATTCATATGAAAATGAGCCTCGTCTACAGGTTCATTTTCATGTAAATCAAACGCATTTTCAAATGAAAGATTTTACACGAGAACAGGCCCAGGGTAACTCAAAAATGGCCTATTTGTCACACGCAACTGATTACATGGGAGCATGTACAAACAGAACAATTGTAACCTCCCAAATGAATCATCACATGGCCTGAATTGAGTGGCAACAAGGATGTGCACACGTTAGCCGAATCGGTCTATTCTATACTGTTCGCTTGTACGACGGACGTATTTTACATTAATAATGTTCCCTCGACACTTAAAATAGGAATACTCACCGAAAATGAGGCACAAGTGAAAAGGCTGTTTTCCTCGGTGTCTCGAATAACTCTGAGAGGTTTAAATCTACGGAANAAGTACAGAAAAGGGTACAAAACAGCAGAAAACATATGCAGGTTATGTAAGTAAGAACTAGATCAGTTTTAAATTCGTGTGCAGCTCTGCCAAAGCTCTGCAAAAGTAGCAGAACTTTCGACTCGACATCTGGGCACTCCAGATGCGTGTGACAACCAGAAGGAACGTTATGTATTACAGAGTCCGGAACATGAAACGCTGAAGCCGTGTCCCGATCGAAGTCATGCAGAAATGTTGTTTATCATATTCAAAGAATTTTTGGAAATTTCGCTCATGAAGAATGTAGACTACGAGTAGTCCATCTTTCGCGTAGTTCGTCGAGCGAGACCGAAAATACACCGCGAGGAAATTAATGGCCCCGTGTTCGCGCGGCCATTTTTTTCTCGCGGTTTTCTTTCGCGTCACGCACGACGGACTAAGCGAAAGAAGGACTACTTGTAGTCTACGAAGAATGTATTGCATCCGAATTTTCCTCGAAGTACCGTCCACTTGGTTTGAGCTAAAGAAATATCAGAGTTAAGAATAAGTCAACAATGGTCATCAATGGCAAAGATTGAAGTCAGCAGGCCATTCGCGAGTTATCTTGTGCTTCCGTGTTTCAAATCGAATCTTCGTGCAAAACCTTTCATATCAAAATGAGTCCATTTCCATGAAAATAAAACTGTTCGCGGAACACACTTTCATATGAATGGTTTCGCGGGAAAACTCGTTTTGTCGCGGAGGCAAAAGGCAACTCGCGAAGAAAGAACATGACTTGAAAAAATTAGGCTAACTGTTTCAAGACACAACATCTTTGATTCTTGAACCGCATAGACGCGGGTTCTCCTCCTTCCATTGTGATAAATTTTAAAAGACTTCAGCATACGATATTTACCTTTTCTACGGGAGTTCCTGGGTCGTTAAACCTGTAGCGTGTTAATGATGGGGTCCCGGGCGTGCTGGCGCCTGTGGACACTGTAGACAGGCTTGAGGTGTGATTAAAACGAACCTATGAAAACAGCAATGGNCATCGTCACGGTCATGATTTCCTTAGTTTAAACTTGATGAATTCTTGATAAGTTTGAAGAGTCTTGCAACGTCCATGCCTCTCACAAGACGTTAGACGTACACAATCGTAGAGAACAAACCTTGAGCAGTGAGATGACTATGGACAAGCTGTAGTAGTTCCTTTGCGGGATATGAAATGTGTGTCTGGGCAACAACATCAGCCTTTAAAAAAAATAATAAAACGGTTCAATGTTCAGTAGAACCTTAAGCTAGTACCTCATCTACCTTAGAAAATAGACTTCTTTCTTCTTTCTTGACTACTAACTTTGCTTGTACCTCAGCTATCTCTCTCGAGCAGTGCTCTCACGCGGTACTGTTTATTACGCTGTAGAAGTAGGTTCTAACTTATATGTCTGGGGATGAAAACCTAGTGTGTGACCATTCAAATGAACGCTATTGAGCAGTTCTCTCATGTGGTACTGTTTGTTATGCTGTACAAGGTGGTTGTAACTTTTAAGTCTGTGAACGAAACCTTAGTGTGTGACTCAGTATTCAAATGAAGCTTGTTGAGCAGTACTGTATTTCCATCAGGCGCTGTACATCATTTAAATTTTGCGGGGACTCTTCACAGATAAAGCCGTTTGATTCAGTGAGGATAGTCAGGTCTCTGTACCATACCTTAGTTATTCTGGACAGGGACGGCACAGCAGTGGAAGTCGCAAGTGATTTACCAGTGACTCTCTCTAACAGTTCAGCCGCATATTTACAGAACAGTGCATGGTCAGAGGCATTATCTTCAATGACTGGTTCCCGCATTAAAACTAAACATAACAAAAAAGAAAAAGCTAAGAATTAAAAATCCTGGTTGTTTGCTGGGAACAATCCTGTTGTTTATTTGGGCAAAACACTTTACTCTCACAATGTCGCTCTCTCCACTCAGTTGTGCAGATGGTTAACAGCTAAATGTTAAAATAATCTTATAAAACGCTGGTCCCAGGCACACGGAACTTTTAGGCTAGGGCCCCGTTAACACACTACGCTGGAGGAAGTTGAAAACGCAGCTTTATTTCTACGGTTCGGCCTACCGTCCACACTAATCCGTCACGAAAACCACGCTTTTCGTAAACGCTCNCCTCCACCCCCCGCCAACCCTTCCCGACCTACACCTTTCCTGCATTCCAACAAACAGTGGTACGAAGTCAGAGTTAGGGTGGACAAAAATACAAGAACATATAAAAATGTCTGCGCGTCACGCAAACGAGTTTACTCCCAGTTTAAAACGCGTTCGATGGTTCGTGTATCTCTGAGCAGTACTGCAGGAGCTGCTCACAATGAACTCATTCCTTGTCTTCTCGGATAGATGTAAATGCTTAAATACTGAATGTAAGATTAAGGTCAATTTGAAAGAGTACCTCATTCCTTTCTGTTGCTCTCCTGAGGGAAGTTGAACTTCCTCACACAGCGCCAGCTGAGCTTTGGGTACTACTGTCAGCACAAACAACATCTCTAACGCCAGGCGGGTCACGTCTGCTGCTAAGCGCATGGCATCCGTTCTTAAGTGAGAAGAAGAAAAATTAAGTCATAAGAGAAATAAACACCACATATTTCCCAGATCCTAATCAAGAAAAATAATGCAACATGTATAATGTGTAATCTAGTAGCAATATACAGCAGATAAACCATAACTGTAAGGGGTAGACAACACTGCCAAAGAACCACATATCCTGAAAGCCTTTTAGTGTGAGGTGAGGGAGAGCAATTCGACTTCTAAGAAACAGTAATCGGACTACTAGTTGCCAATGTTTTTTTTTTCTGTTGGAGTGAACGAAGGAACGTACGGACAACCAGACGGACGACCAAATAGATGGGTAAACGGACAGTCAGACGGACGCACAGACAGACAGACCGATCGACTGACTGACAGACAGACAGACACAGATAGGCACACAGACAGACACACGCAGACAGACAGACAGACAGACAGACAAAAAGACTGACTGATCGACTGGCAGAAAGACAGACGGGGAGACCGGCCGACCAACCAACCAATCAACAGACAGACACACAGACACACAGAAACACAGACACACAGACACACAGACAGACAGACAGATAGACAGACAGACAGATGACAAAGCCTGAGAGACAGAAGGACGAACAGGCAAAAGACGTACGGATGCACAGAAAAGTAATAGCCACCATAACGTATCTGGAAACAAACGTTTAAGAAGCATTAGTCTTTCCCAGGACAAACGGGTCCAAGAAAGATTTGACACTAGAAACGTTAGCTTTCCAGGTACGCTATTGTGAATAACAGTTCAATTTCTAGCGCGCTGATGATGACTTACCAGAGTATGGTAAACGTTTTACTTGTCTGCCCAACAGCACAGAAGTCTCTTTAGAAGGAAATAGTTTGGAACAGACGACCAGAAATTGGACGGTCTTTCAAATGATCAAAGTTTCTAGCGCTTGACAGTTAATTGTAAAGGCAAAAGAAGGTTGTCAAAAACTGTTACTGAAATACCTGTTGCTTGCCACTCCCCAGTCAGATGACAGAGAAATTAGCTGAAGCAGTAATGTAAATCCTTGCAGTTTGGTCATCATCTACACAGAGTGGAAACAACAGTCACGCGGTTACAAATGGCTCTCGATGTAAGCTTGACCCCAAGCGTAAAGCATGTCAATAGGAGCAAGAGGGTGGAGAGGGGGAAGAGGGGGAGTTCGCAATTCCACATGCAAATCACAAAATTACGAATTAAGGATAAACTCTCACCCAAAAATACGATAATATTGTATTGTGTTACAAAAATATTACAGGGCAGGGATAACAGAAAAAAACTAATTCCCAAAGACAGTTTTAGTCGTCCTAGACTTGAAATGCTGCAATTACCTCAAGCCTCTTACTGTACATACAAGTCTAACAAAAACTCTTCCTTACAAGCAGGTATCCGAGGTTCGTACTCTTTTTAGCCGTTAAAATTCCATGACTCTCCATGACCGTTCTGAGTTTTCCATGACCTATGTTAAGTATTGTCAAAACAATTTATTATTCATAGAATGCGTGCTAGTGTTAATTTTTTACTGGAAATAAAACCAGTTTTCTGACTCGTCTGTTATTTTTTAAACTTTTGATCTTTTTGCATTTTTATTCTCAGAAAGTACATTGCTTTTCCATGACTTTCCATGACCCACACTTCAATTTCATGACTTTCCAGGCCTGGAAAATGAAACTATAAAATTCCATGCCTTTCCAGGTTTTCCATGACCCATACGAACCCTGTAACAAAATCATAAAATTCAATTCAAGACTGCTGTGACAATACCTCAACAGGCTCCCAGCGCAGTGTAGGTGGGGCATACTCTAACATCAGCTGACAGTTATCCATCACATTACTGTGAGACAGAGATGCAGCCTAAACAAAGGTTTACATGATAAAGGTTAAAGGTTTAGATCACAAGGGCTTGCAAACGATCAGGTAGTTTAGTATCGTGACAGGGTGCGCCCGGGTGCCACAGGCAACTAACTTTTACCTTTGGACGACTAGAAAAACTTACTCTTTTCATACAAGCTTAAGTGCTCGGCACCCAGTATTTCATGGTTAGGAACCTTTGAGCTCCTTTAATTTTTCTTAGACCACAGCCCTTATATCTCATTTCCCTATCTTCGAATCATTTTTTTCCTTCATCTCGATTTTCCTTTGTCATTTCTACCCTCTACCTTTTCATCATTTCTCCTTCGTCCTTACGTTTTTCGGCCGCGTCGGCCATTTCTGTCTCCACCGTCCCCTAGTCAGTAAGCATAGGTCAAAACTAGAAGAAAAGTTTTCTTTTTTCCTTTCTCCTCTCAATAAAGGAGACTAATATCTTTTGTTTTGCATCGATGTTCGTTGTTGTTCTTGCTGTAGTTGTTGTTGTTTTTGTTGTTGCTGTTGCTGTTCTCGCTGTTGCTGCAGCTGTTGTTGTAGCCGTTGTTGCTGTTGTTGTTGTTGTTGTTAATATTGATGTTTTCGCTGTTGAGTTACGTTTGTTCAAAGATATTTTCCTTAGTCTTATTTTTGATAGCGGAGGTCGATGGCACTCATTATCAAAAGTAGCACATTGCTACATTAATTTAAAAAGTTGAGAACTTTGTACAGGGTTACAGTGGTGTACTGAACACAATGTGAAACAATTGAAAAAATAAGTGTACATCGTTCCTTGAAAAACGGTATTTCTTTCACAGTAGTTTCCAGATGCAGTGTGCCATGATTTCAGAGAGTAGGCCAATGTTCGTTTGTGTGTTCGTTATTTCGTTCGTTCGTGCGTATGTCCAGGCGTGCGCGCGTGCGTGCCTTCGTTCGCTCGTCCTTCTGTTCGTTCGTTTATTCGCTCGTTCGTTCGGTACCTCGTTAGTTTGTCTGTTCGTTCATCCATTGGTTGTTCATTCGTTTCTTCGTTCGTTATATTGCCGGCAAGAAAACATAAAAGATAAAAATACAACAAAAAAGAGACGCCAATCGCCGAAAAATCGCAAATCAAGGCGGGCAGCAATAATGACAATTTAGCACAACAAATATTACATTCTTAAAAAAAATATACTATATACATGTACAATATACAAAGTAAACAAACAAAAGCTTAATAGATTTTCAGCAATAAAAGTTAATATTATTAAAAATGAAAATTATCTTCCTCATATACTCACCTTATAGGNTATCTCTGAGCAGTACTGCAGGAGCTGCTCACAATGAACTCATTCCTTGTCTTCTCGGATAGATGTAAATGCTTAAATACTGAATGTAAGATTAAGGTCAATTTGAAAGAGTACCTCATTCCTTTCTGTTGCTCTCCTGAGGGAAGTTGAACTTCCTCACACAGCGCCAGCTGAGCTTTGGGTACTACTGTCAGCACAAACAACATCTCTAACGCCAGGCGGGTCACGTCTGCTGCTAAGCGCATGGCATCCGTTCTTAAGTGAGAAGAAAACAAATTAAGACATAAGAGAAATAAGCACCACATATTTTCCAGATCCTAATCGAGAAAAATAATGTAACATGTATAATGTGTAATCTGGTAGCACAATACAGCAGATAAACCATAATTGTAAGAGGTAAACACTAACATCACTGCCAAAGAACTACATATCCTGAAAGCCTTTTGGTGTAAGGGAGAGCAATTCGACTTCTAAGAAATAGCAACTGGACTACTAGCTGCCAATGCTTTTTTTTTTCTTTTGTAGTGAACGAAGGAACGTACGGACAACCAGACGAACGGCAAGATAGATGGGCAAACAGACAGGTAGACGGACGGACGGACAGACTGATCGACTGATCGACTGACAGACAGACAGACAGACAGACAGATAGACAGACAGATAGACAGACCGACTGATCGACTGACAGAAAGACAGACATAAAAACGGACGGGCAGACCGGCTGACCAACCAATCAACAGACAGACAGATAGACAGACAGACAGAAGGACGAACAGGCAAAAGATGGACGGATGCACAGAAAAGTAATAGCAACCGTAACGTATCTGGAAACTAACGTTTAAGAAGCATTAGTCTTTTCCAGGACAAACGGGTCCAAGAAAGATTTGACACTAGAAACGTTCGCTTTCCAAGTACGCTATCGTGAATAGTTCAATTTCTAGCGCGCTGATGATAAACGTTTTATTTGTCTGTCCAAAGAACAGAAGTCTCTTCAGAAGGAAATAGCTTTGGACGGAAGACTAGAAATTGGGCTGTCTTTCAAATGATCAAAGTTTATAGCGCTTGTCAGTTAATGTTAAAGGCGAAAGAAAGTTGAAAAATACCTGTTGCTTGCCACTCCCCAGTCAGATGACAGGGAAATTAGCTGAAGCAGTAATGTAAATCCTTGCAGTTTGGTCATCATCTACACAGAGTGGAAAACAGTCACACGGTTACAAATGGATCTCGATGCAACCTTAACCTCAGGGGTAAACATGTCAGTAGGACCACGAGGGGGGCGGGGGGAGTTTGCATTTCCACATGCAAATTAGAAAATAGCGAATTAAGGTTAAAATCTCAACCCTACATAACAAAATATTGTATTGTGTAGCAAAAATATCAAAGGGCTGGGATAACAGAAAATAATTGTTTCCAAAGACAGCTTTCATCCTAGACTTGAAATGCTGCAGTTACCTTAGGGCCTCTTACAGTACATATAAATCTAAAGAAAAAAATAACTCTCCCTGACAAGCAGACATCTAACAAAGGTTCATACTTTTTTGAGCTTTTAAAATTCCATGACTTCACTGCCCTTGCCCATGATCTTTCCGAGTTTTCCATGACCTATGTTAAGCAGTTGTTCTCAAAGTGTTGTCAAAACAATCTGTTACTTAAGGTTTTTTCCCAGGTTATGANGATTGCCGTGTTTTAAACCAAGGCACGCATGCGCCGTGAAACCGGAACTCCTAAAATCTTGGAGTCTGGAAATTGATTATTCAAGAGCTCCATGTCTTGGCGCTGACCAAAAGACACGTGGGCTCTGGGAACGAGATTGTATTTCTGATAGCGGAGGCTGATGACGCTCATTATCAAAAGTAACACATTGCTACATTAATTTAAAAAATTGACAGCTTTGTACAGGGTTACAGTAGTGTACTGAACACATTGCGATACAACTGAAAAAATAAGGGTACATAGTTCCTTGAAAACCGGTATTTCTTTCACAGTAGTTTCCAGATGCATGTGTACCAAGATTTCAGAGGGTACAGCTTAATGATCGTTTGTGTGTTCATTATTTCGTTTGTTCGTTCGTTCGTTGGTGCGTGCGTGCGTGCGTGCGTACGTGCGTGCGTTCGTACACTCGTCCTTCTGTTTGTTCGTTCATTCGCTCGTTCGTTGGTTGCCTCGTTAGTTTGTCTGTTCGTTCCTCCATCGGTAGTTCATTCGTTTGTTCGTTCATTATATTACCAGCAAGAACACATAAAAAAAAAATACAACAAATTAAAAAGAGATGCCAAACGCCGAAAAAAATCGCAAATCAAGGCGGGTAGCAACAATGACAATTTAGCACTGCAACTATTAAATTCTTAAAAAAATATACTACATACAATATACAAAGTAAACAAACAAAAGCTTAAAAGATTTTCAGCAATAAAAGTTAATATTATTAAAAATGAAAATTATCTTCATCGTATACTCACCTTATAGGCAGGAACTGGGACAGGTGGAGTTCCCCCCTGATTTCTTGCAATAGATCTCCTCAGTGCATCTGCTCTGATGTGGAGATGTGCATCAAAGTATCGTCGCAGGGCCATACAAGTGTGTTTTGCTGTCTGTCGACTGCCAAACACTTCATCGTCACTCAGTAGTTCAGCTTCATCAGGACGAAGGATGGCAAGTGTGCTTAGCTACATTTAGGTGCGCAATAAAAGAATCTTACAGCAAAACCACAATTCAAAAATGCAGAATTGTAGCCTAATCTTTACTTAGTTTTGTACTTTAGGTAAGGGTTAAGTCTGCACAAAAACCAAGTGACCTACAATTTTATTATTCAACAAATCCTTGACAGAAAAAAAAAAAAAACAAGGATGACAACACATTTTTTACTAGCAAAATGAACTGTAGTGACACAGTGTTTTGGGCGTTATGAGTAATATTTGTTAAATAATGATAAATCAGAAAGTTATTGATGTTGGCAATTTTCCACATCAGAGACATGTACTGTTAAACTATGTTGAGTTATTAGAGGGATATTCCTCACTACTATAAATTTAACAAAGACTGTACAATGAAAATCATAAATCACCTGGTTCACCAGTTTTCGCAGGCCATCATTGCTGTCAAAAAGTTCCAGCACTGCTCGAAATGAACACGTAAGTGAGAAGAACAGAGTCGCATGACATCTGCCCGAGTCATGAGAGCATTCCAGCAACCACAACGCATACTTCACCATGTCACTTAACACAGGGTGTGGTAAAAGAGATACCTAAAAACATGGCATTGATTTCAAATTATGAGGTTGAAATGACCATTCACTATCTTTAGTAAGTCCAAAAGGATATAAACTAAACCGTAGTCCTTTCCATAACGGTAGCTACCGTGTATGTTTATAAATGTGATTGGTGGTAAACTTCTCCCCTTCCCCTATACTGTTATTGAGAAAATAATTAAGGCTTGGTGGAAAAAGGGCGTTAGGTATTTTTGATCACAAGTGAACTTTGTCGAAAACACTTTAAATTTCGCATGAGGTTTTTTTTAGGTGTGTTAAACAATGTCCTGTATTTTTTTGCTTACGTTTGCTTCGTTTCCGAGATATTACGTATGCATAAAACCACTCGGCTTTTCCTGGCAGCGTCTTAAACCTTTATTTGTTGAACAACAAACAGACAGACTGTTTGTAGTGTACGAAATCAAAATCAAATCCCACAGAGTCTTCGATGTCTTTCTTTTAAGTCAAAGGAAAATAGCCTATGGAGCGGAAATCTGGGAACAGATTGTTTACATCAGTTATTGTGACGTGAAACACAACTAGTGAATCGATGAAGTGTCAAAGGAAATATCATCGAACAGAAAAGAGATCTATGTGATACTTTAGAGCTCTGTCAACTAATATTTTAAGCATTGTAATGTTTTAAAGTACCTTGCATGCCTGCCTGGTGGTTGAGAGCCTTGATAAACCCTTAAGTCATCAACACGTTTTAAAGAAGCAAAATGTGTTCTGAAACTTCGAACACAGATATAATCAAGTTATCGGCGCTTGCAGTCAGATGGATTATTTTCTCAGATCGTCGGTCAACACGAAATCTTGAAACATTTAACTGTTTTTGATGTGAAATCAACATTTTGCTGTTTTCTAAGTGAAATTAACATCTTTGCGGTCGCGAGTTAACGTTAAATCAACATTTTAATTGTTTTTAACGTGAAATCAACAATTTTGAGCTTACACGTTCCGTGAAATCAACATTTTGTTGTTTTCTAAGTGAAATCAACATCCTTTCGGTCGCACGTTAACGTGAAATCAACATTTTAACTGTTTTTCACGTGAAATCAACATTTTTGAGCTTACGAGTTGCATGAAGTCAACATTTTGCTGTATTTTAAGTGAAATCAACATCTAAGTGCGGTCGCGCGCTGACGTGACAACAAATAAGAGTTTTTTGCATACGAAAACGACGCAGACTTTAGCCAAAAAAATACGGGAAATTGTTTAACACACCTAAACAAAACCGCATACGATATTTGGAGCGTTTTCGACAAAGTTCACTTTAGACCAAAAATACCTACATGTAACACCCTTTTCCACCAAGCCTTTCAATGTCCAATGGGCAAGAATGCAGTCTTAGCAATAAGTCAAATACTTGAACACGCACTAATAAGGGGAAGGGAGAGAACACAGTTTTATATTCAATTGGTAAACTGGCTGATTGCTAGAAAACCCTCAGGCGTCAAATGGCAAAATATCAGAATCAAAAGTCACAAATGATCAGATCAGAGGACCTTTAAGAATGTGTAGTAGATATTTTACAGAATGAAAGAAAGCACAGCATTACCCTCTCCATAGCATCCTCATTGTAAGCCAAATAATACAAACACATGGAACATCCTGTTGCAGCAACTGATGGGCGTGGCACTTCCAATAATCGCTGGACACCATTATGGGTGACAAATTCTGTGGCAAATTTCTTGTGGCAAAGAAGGGATGCTAAATACTAAAAATAAGAACAAAACATCTGCAGTTTAAATTGTTTCCCTAGCATTTCCATGTTTTTAAACTTTTGTCATAGGTACATGTATCAGTAGTTAGGCAATGCTCTTGTAACTTCTGCTTGTTTTTAGTACATGAAGCTACTGTGGTGAGCTAACAGCCCATTCCATGAAAGATTCCACCCCACAGACAAAGAAAAACTGTATTGTTGTTGTCTCTGATAGAGAGAAGACATCCCTCTATCACTTTGGGGTGAAGATTATCAAATCACTTGTTCAATCATTTACTTGTTTTAAGTCATCGTGTATAAAAATAAATGGTGCAAATTAACACCCATGGCTATTGATAAACTAAAAGCAGGTTTTAAAAGATTCCTTGCTGCATCAAAACTAAAAGCAAATTCACGAACATGATTGGCTATCAATAGGCCCCATTTTCATCCAAATAAGACAAAGCAATGTTTCCCCCTTGTAATCATACAATCTTATGGATACCGCATGCGTTACATTTGTAATTCTCATTAGACAGTGTAATTAGAGAATTTGAATGTCTTTAAGTAATCCAATTTTCCCTGTAATCACACTATGCCTTGTTATAAAACAAATTATCGGACACCGTTACATGGCTGTCCAATTTTGTTAATCACCCCAATACTTATGAAACTACAGACTGAATTGGACTCCACTCACTCCACTCCTATTAATTACCATAATCAAATACGGCATGATCTGTACAAGACACACCCAGTTGTGTATTTTGACTTACCTTAAGAGCTTCAAAGACAAGTTGTACATCAACTTGACCCTTGAATGTGATGTAGTGCATTACAAGATCCAGAGCTTTTGTTTCAAACACAGTTGGCAACAACTAAATGCAAACAAAGAAAAAACATGGGTGGTTATCATACATGTATGTTTTCCTTGGCTATTGACTTTCAGGCAAAGTGTATCCATTACAATGTTATCAATGGTACAATACCTCCTGATATTCTCCCAGTGGAGTCAGATATTGCAAGATGAGCCTCTGCTGCATGCCAAGTGTCAAGGGGAAGAGGGAAAATGACATAGGAATCACATGGTATCCTCCCTTAGGAACACACATTGCACTGCCTGAGGAACGGGCTGTCTTGCTTGGCTTTACCAGTGGCGAGGATCTTGTTGGTAGCAAACTCTTACCTAAAATGTAAAGTAGGTACTGTTCAGAACAATTGCCATAAAGACTGGAAACACCCAGTCCTGTAAAAAATTAAGCTTCAATTCCAATACATTTATTTATGATAATAATGCACTGGTGTGAAGGATTTTTTGGGGGGAAACAGAGTAGTACAACTGTAGGAAAGTATTAATTTGGTCATTAGAGTTTTTTCATTTTTTGGTTGGCATTTCTAGGACTGTGCCCTCCTCTATGCAAATGTACACTGTACATTCTATCTGACATTGGGGTTTGAAATGGTTGAAAAGCCTGCTCAAAATAGACCTTTGAATTTGCCAGGCTGCAGTTAATGAGGAAATCAAAGCCCATCGACTTACATGTTAATAATGATCGCCCTATTATAAACTGAACTTGCAAATGAACACAAACTGACCCTTCCCGCTGTAGCTGCTGGGGTCATCTGACACTTCACCATTGCACAGACTGGATATTTCACTGGTCTGCTGTGTGTTACTTGACGGTCCAGGCTCGGCCAAGCCTGTTTTCTTGACCTTGTAATTGAAACTGCTACCACCGTCTGCCCTGTTCCTGCTATACTTTGCCTTGAGGATAACCCTGCTAGAAAGGTCTGTTACTGCAGGCTGTGTCAGGTCTGGCAAGTCTTTTAAGATGTGCAACCGACGCAGCACACAAGGTACCTACCCATATAAGTGTCAGCATTTCAAACACAATGTCAGAGAAATAAACAACAAGTCTACTATGAGAAGTAATGTACTGTAGAATTAGCAGGACTCAAATAAAACTTGAATTCCACTTTGGGACAAGCAGCTTCCAAATTTTGCTTGCCCTGGGCAAATCTTAGTTTACTTTTATTATGAAATCTTCAGTTGGCATATGACTTGCATGGGCCCTTGGCCATCAGGAAAGTGAAATTGAAAAGTTACTAGCCTGGCANTTTAATATTTAAAATGACTTTATTAAATTAAACAAATCATATTTCCATAATTGGCATAACTTTGTATCACAATACATAAGGTGAAGATCAAAACTTCTGTCATTTGATGGAGAATGTGGTAGTAAGTGATCTGGTACAAAAAGGTGCTAAGAGTATTCTTGCAGTCTGCGGTAGGGGGATTTTTCTCAATGATTTCAATTGTGTAATAAATCAATTCTTGCTACCTTGCCTGGAAACAAACAGGGAGAATATCAACCTTTGGTCTTCACAAATTACTGTACACACCTCACTGTGCTTGTTCTGTATGTCAAAACCACAGGCTGACATTCTCCCAACATGAATATTGTGCTAGGTTTTAAAATGAGATATACAGACATCTTCGGCATTTAAACTAGAAAAATGAGAGAAGTGATTCAATGTTACCACTTCTCCTAAACTTGCCATATCCTGGAACACTGCGGCACTCTCAAGTCCAGGCATGGCATTCAACAGAACTCTTGCTGCAATGCAGTTGAGATCAAACTCTTCCACTGTGCTCATGATGTACGAGTTTACAAGCTTGTCCATGAATTCATCATTCCTGAATAATGTCTTAAGGAGATGACCCAGGGCACAGTCAGGATCTGCTCGACCTAAAAAGCACAGTCACACTATTAAAAGACATGAACTGCAGGAGGCAAGACTATTTGAACTGTACTTCTAATATAAGAAAAACTTTCCTTGAGATGGTCAAACCAGGCGTGCAAAATCACCCTCACACGTTTTAATGAAGAACTTTGCTTTGTGTGACATTCTGCATGACATTTATCATTGATTTTAATAGTTTAATATTACACTTTCTGTCAAACATGATTACATTGACTGACATTGCAATTTGAGCAGCTCGACATAGGAACCCATTTTCAGTTAGTTTTACATGTGTTGGTATGAATAGCTTTCTCATTTTTAAAGGTTTTACAGTTTAATTGAACTCTGGAATCCCATCACGAATTGAGTCAGTTTTAAAGTTGGTGTTTTCCGTTTTCTAAGGCTTTGTTACTTTAAGTCGTTTCCTTTGATTTCTGTTAGTGTAATTTCGGTAATCAACCACATGTGATTTGCAAATTATTGTGTAATTGACCACCTGGTTTACTCAGTTAAATCTGTTCGTGTTTCTTGGTTGATATATGATATATTTGGTTAGTTGCTATTGTTTAAGTATGTCATTTGCTGTGTTTATTTCAGATCGAATAAAAATCTAACTTGTAATTTATACGATTCACAGGAATTCAGAAATAGGGGCATTTTGGCAGTCTTCGTCCGGCGGACTACTGACAATTTGCCTTGTGCCCAATTCTTAATGAAACGGCTGTGAAATGTTACAGTTATTGAGTAGAACCTTATTATCTTGAATTTGGTTACCTCAAAATCACCAGGGCTACATGTATCTTGAACTCAAATCAATTTCTCTTGGATACACTTTTCCTGTCAATTACTACATGTGTATCAGCGACCTCTAACCCTCAACATCTTGAACTATTTCATTTTTTTGTTACCCTTTAGAGTTCAATATCAAGGGATTCAACTGTAATCTTGTATTCAAACCGGGTCTGGGAAAAGTTCAAACATGACTACAAACAAAGCAAGTGCTTCTACTGCAAAGTTTTGAACATTTAACACTGCGATCTACAACTATAGTCTTGACTAAATCTAAAAGTGAAGATCATTGAATCCTGTTTTGGTACACATGACAAATTATGAAACAAAAGATGACCCTTTCTTTTTTTCAAAAAAACCTAATATTGTCAAAAATATATATTACAAAGGCATAACACT